CTGATGGTACAGAAGTTGCCCATATTCGGGGAGCGATTCTCGTTTACAGCAATTACCTACAATTTGCGCTCAAAAAGATGGATGCATTCTAAGCAAAGGGCAAAAGGATTCGACCTGTAAATTTACATCCGGTTTTTAGCCTATTGCAACTTTACGAAACTAATGGTAGTGTGATAAGTAAAAAAAGTAGCTGAGAATACAAAACTTGACAAGGACAGGCCAGACGCTAGTGGTCTAATGCTTGACTGTGGTAAGGGAACCACTTGAAGGCTCAACTGGTGTGTCCTTTCCCTTTGGTCTGGCTCTCTCACCATATCAGTAGCCTTAAAACCTTATGGAAAGCCTCAGAGGAGTTATGAGACTGCAGTTAGTGAGGCTTATTCCGAACCCACTGATAAACTCAACTCCAGTAGGAAAGCTACAAATCTGCCTGAAAAATAGCCAAAGCTTCGGGTACAGTGAATACTCGATCTCAGCTCAAAATAATAGAATAATCATTGAGGTGCAAGAACCAGTATTCGAATAATGGAACCACCGTAAAATGATGCATGATTACTGTAAAAGTAAATTCAATTTATCCTCAATACATTAGCCACCAGTCTTCGACGACGCACATTTTTATACAAATATTAGAATTTTGAAAATCATTTCTTCGAATCCAAACAGAATGCTATTCAAACGTCGCCGATCATCTCTGATTGCAACAATCAGAATGCAGCCAATCCGAGTGAATGCAATAAGCATAAATTTGAATAAGGGCACCTTCACTCAGCCAGGATAGTTAAGTTGCAAGCCTCAAAAGAACCTTCACTTGGAGGAAGTATTTTGAATATTTTACACACCAGTCTGCGGCATAGCCCTTCCCTTCGAGGCTCCCACCGAAGGCATTATGACACACTAAGTGTCTCTCCCATGGGTAGATTAGTTCCACCCGCAGTGGTTATGGCTCTGATGGGCCTTCAGACCGTCGAAGAAAATTCACACTGCCCCATCGGTTTTGTCAATCAACCAACCAGCTACCGTGAGAGTTATTATTGTCAGTTCCGTATGCCAACTTGCCCGATCAAATTGGACTCAGGTCTTAAGGATAGACCCTTACAGCATGAAAATGCTACTCTTACGATGTTACTCTTCAACCATCTTTCAAGTAGTCGGAGCCTTTTTGCAAAAAATATTCCTCCCACCAAGTGATGCGGTGATATGCGCGAGGTGTTTGGCTTTACTAGCCGACTCGAGATCACGTCATCCTGTGTGCACAGGGTAGGTGGCTTTATTACGCAATCAAACGCAAACAGTGAAATCATGGGAGAAGGTATTTTGGCAGTCAACAATGTTTTCATTCAATCATCGTCAAAATTGGAGACACCAAGCT